ATATTCCAACTCTCCATTTTACTTCAAACAGTTCAACCGTAAGAAAAAATAGATTGGAGACCTTCAAAAAATAATTTAATACCACACACACAGAAACCAACCCTTCCGGAAGAAGAAAACCCTAGCTAGAGGGAAATCTCTCTCCTCCCCACACCTCCCAACAGAGAAAAGTGAATCGATCACTCTGGGAGGCCTAGAAAATTTCAGAAACCAAACCGCCCTCTTCATAAAATCAAAAGAAAACTAACAATACCTGGGTGCCCAAGATCAGATAAAAAACAAAGAGTCCAACTTTTCTGGGACTCTTCCATGTACTCCAGTTCTTCCTGATTTTGATGCCGAATAGTAGATCACCTTCCTGATGTCTAGATCCCACCAAAAACTCCAAGAACTGGGCAATCTATAACAGATCGATCACCCTTTACTACTTCATGTAGTCGGCTGGTCTAGGGCTGCATGAGAATGCTTCAAGAAACCCTAGCCGATGCTCTGATACCAAGTAGGAATCTGCTGAATGAAAAAATATGAAATAAAGTAGTTTCTTGAAGAGAGGAGGATAGAAGGTGAAGAAGAGAAGAAGAGAAGTTGAAAAGAAAAGAGAGCAATAATTTGGCCGCCCCCTAAGGGCGGCAAAACATAAAACAGCATATATAACACTCAAAAAACATAACAAAATTTGGACTCACATAACTACTATGGTCCCCACCTCCTATCTAACAACTAACATAAAACATCTACTCAGAAAAAATCATAAAACTAATTAATCTTCAACATGTCCAATTGTGGGCAGCTACCTTGCAAACTAACAGCTCTCTACCAAAAACAAAAGGTGATTTACTTAAGAATTAAACAATCTTATCAAGCATACTAGCAGAATGTTCATTAAAGAAATAACAAGAAAACACTTGAAAACCAAGCAATCGTAATCTCTGTTATCACAGTAAATTGTCATAAGGTCCCTATAAGGGGGACAGAGCTCCCAAAGCCTTGGGAAAAAGAGAAAAAAAGGAGAAAACCACCATGAGTAGGACAAAAGAAAAGAACCCAACACCTAATGAACAACAATGCCAAAAGACAATATAGACAAAGAGCAGAAATCTTGGCAGTAATGGAGGGTCTACAAAGAGCAAAGAAGATGAACATTAATATGATAGTAATTGGAGGACATTCAAAGCTAGTAATAGGGTGGATTCAGAGTAAGGATGATGCTTTATGGGCTTACAATAATGAAATTAAAAAAGTTGAAATGGTTAACTAGAGGAATGTAAGTGAGACTACAATGGGTTCAAAGAGCAACCAAAAGTTTGCTGATTATCTAGCAAAACAAGGGGTAGGGAGAGAACGAATGTTTTGGGCATAATTGTAATTATTCGGGAATGGGATAGAGATAAGAGGTTTTATCTCTAAATGATTCTATGCACTGCATATCCTTGTAAATCTCCATGAATTTTAATTAATAAAATTGTTTCTGTTACTGATAATAAAATGGCAAGAAATACAAAGCCATTAGCTTGGAGAGAAGTGTTCCAAGACAATTTTGATGTCCCAACCACACTCCTGACCAAACTATCTGTTAATGAGTTAGCTGACTTTGGTATCTAGTCGAACAAACTATTCACATTGGTGTTCAAGGTGTGAGTGCACATGGGCCATGGATCAATGGAACTGCTAAACATTCATCTGAGAACCACTGGTGAATCTCCCTAGGTTTCCACTTTTTCATGGCCCAATGAGAATAAAAGTTGAAGGCTGTGATGAAATGATGGACTTAATGAGTAGTTGCCATGCTTAATTGGTCTTGAGGACATCATGATAATGTCCCCCCTTTTGATATATATATATATATATATATATATTCCTCCAGTGCCTCAATGGTCTTGGTTTCCCAAGGGAGTGCCCGTCTAAATTAAGTTTCATGGTTAGTTGAGTAGGAGGATACAAATGCTGCAATATAGTGCCTTTATTATGGAACAAGGACTTCCTGCAATCCTCTAATGGTCAAGTTAATGAAAAAACCACTGGACTTGATGGTGGATGGTTCATGATGAACCTCCTAGCTTTGAATTCCTCAAGGAGACAAGGGCCAAATAATTTTATTGTATACTTCTGCTTAGTTATGATGTTGACGTGTTACTATAGAGTATAGAATAAAATGATATGGTTATCATGATGTAATTGAGCTATGTGAAGGCTAGGTTGTCATAAGATCAAGCCATAGATAGATCCAAAGTGCTCCTTGCCTTCAAAAAGAACCTGCCCTCCCTAATCTTGCCTCTTGCATCAGCTTCTTCCCCTTGGAAAGCCATAAATGAGGTGCTTCCTACTTTCTGAACTTCAAAATTTGATGTAGGAAATGGTAATAAAGTCCTTTTATGGGAGGATGTTTGGGCGGGGGTACTCCCTTAAAATCTCAATATCCTTTGCTCTTTGCACTTTCTAATCTTAAAAAAACCCATTGCTTGTTTGGAGTCTCTCTTCTTCAGGGCTAAACTGTGATTTTGGTTTTAGAAGAGGTTTAAGGGACAGAGAGTGTGATATTGTGATAAACTTGTTACATATTTTAGGGTCAGCCTTCCTGGATATAAGGGTGGAAGACAACAAAGTCTGGACACCTTCCCTTTTTGGATCTTTCTCTTGTGCTTCTTTCTTTGACACTCTAGTTTCCTTAGAATCACGGAGGGGAGGTTCTTTTCCTGTGAAAGAAATATGGAACAAGCCTATTCCCCCCAAAGTCCAAGCCTTCTGTTGGGAAGTTTTCCTGGGAAAGATAAATACCTATGATCTGCTCCAGAGAAGAAGGCCAAACAAATGTCTATCCCCTCATATGTGCATGTTATGTAAGGAAAATGGTGAAATAACTCCCCACTTACTACTCTCCTCTTTTGCAAATTGTGTTTGGTCGTGCATCTCTTCACTATTTGGCTGCAGGTGGGAGGATCCTCCACAGGACTTTACAACTCTGTTTAACCCAATTTCTTTTCAGGCAAGAAAAAAAAAAGAGGAAGATTGCTATGAAGACAGCAAGAGCAGCAACAATTTGGACACTATGGGAGGAAAGAAATAAAAGACTGTTCAAAGAAAAGGCAAGGATCATGGAGGACATTATTGAAAGCATAAAGATCAAAACAGCAAACTGGGTAAAAACTTTGGAAGCATTCAATTCGGTGGCAGTAGATGATGTTATTAGAGCCTGGTATGAAGTTGCAAATTCAGCAGCTGTGAAAGACAAAGTAGTCTTGGACAGTAAGCCTCCTCAGCCTAACAGACTAAAGCTAAACTTTGATGGAAGCTCTTTAGGAAATCCTGGGCTGTCAGGAATAGGAGTGTTCAGGGATGATGCAGGGAAAATGGTAACACCATTTTCAGGACCGATAGGAGTAGGGGACTCGGCAAGAGCAGAAATAACAGCATTACTTCAAGGCCTGAAACTAGCAAAACAACGAGGTAGGGGACTTGGCAAGAGCAGAGATAACAGCATTACTTCAAGGCCTGAAACTAGCAAAACAATGAGGGTTTAAGAATTTGGAAATAGAAGGTGACTCAAAATTAGTAATTTCCTGGATGGATGACAACAATCCAGGTGTGTAAGTTCAGACATCTAATTAGAGAAATAAAGAGCTTAGCAAGGGATCTCAAGGCAAGCTTCAAATGGGTCAAGAGAACAGCAAATGGGATGGCTGATACTTTGGGAAAACAAGGGGTACATAGGGATCAACTATTCTGGGCAGATTTGGGATAACCTTGTAAATTTTGAAAAGCCTTGCTTCTCATGTGTCTATTTCATTTTAATCTGTACTATTTTTCTTCCTTATAATGAAATGAAATTCCTTTGATTACTGATTAAAAAAAAACACTCATCACAACCGACTCCAGCACCACTAGCTTGTTCACCAACTACATCTGCATTAGGGGTTCAAGAATCAGGTTTTTTAGGTATAGTTTTACACCAATGGTCAAGCTAAGAAACAGTGAAGGGGCTGTTTAAAGTGGCTACTGGTCAAAGACACTTTTCCCGAATATCATTCTTGTTAGAATGCTCGGTCAGGGGTATTTTGGTCATTCTGGTGTATCTTATTGAAAGTGAAATGTCTATTGTATCTGAGTTTAAGTTATGTGTCCCATCTTCTATGAGGGACAAAATTGTCTTTCTTGTAACTTAAGTTTTATGAATAAAAGTCAAGTGGGTCGGCTAGGAGAGTGACTTTTGAACATCCTCTCTTCTAGTCTGGCCGAACACTCTTCTCTTCTCCTCTCCTTCTTCTTTCTCTTTTCTTTCTTCTTCTCTACTTTAACCTAGAAACAACTAGGGTTTATTCACAATTCTTAGTATTAGAGTTGACTGGTTGATGAATTCTTTGAAAACTGTGAGCATTTTACTCCCTACCTAAACATAGTACAAGCTTGTTGCAAAAGTTAAAAATGATTGGGACCTTTGGTAGAGTGGAAAGCAGGAACATTATCCATGTTGATTACCTGAGTTTGTAGGAAAAGGCACTGATGATGATCCTAGGATAACGTGATAAACATGTGATATTTTTAGCTACACATGTTTTCTTCCTCTCTTTCTGTGTTACTGATTTAATTTTGAGTGGAAGTTTCTGTTATTGATTAAAATAAAAATGTAAGTTTTTAGTTGCACATGCTTTCTTTTTCCCTTTCTGAGTTAATGGTTTAATTTTTGGTTCAGGCAACTAAAAGATGGAAGGAATCAACATTGAGCAGAATTGTGCAACTCACAGAAGAAGCACAACTAAATAAACCAAAGTTACAAAGGTGGCTGGATGAATTTGGTGAGCGCTACAGCAAGGTTGTTGTGGCTCTATCTCTTGCAGTTGCTCTTGTTGGGCCATTTCTTTTCAAGTGGCCCTTTATTGGCACATCAGGTACATTATGGAAGTTCACTTGTTTTATACAAAAGCTTAAACCAATTAATGCCTTATGTCAGAGTTTTTGTTAGCTTTTTTTGTCCAACTTATTAGCCTAAAAGAGTACATTCATGCTTCTATGCATAATAATCATTACATATTACTGCTGATGAGCAATGGTATGGTACCTATATTTTCAACCATTAAGGCCCTGTTTGGCATCACTCCCCAGAAGCGATTCTATCGATTCTTTTGATTCTTTGGATGAGAATTATGTTTGGTTCAAGAAGATGATTGATTCTCATTCGAAACGGGATGAAAAATTCTCTCCTGAAGCACAATTCTGCAAAGTGAAAAAAATTCACTTCTGAGAATTGTCAATTCTCAGGTAATGCAATTCTCGCTATGTCTTTTTAATATAGCGAACACATGTGACAAAGTCACACGTGAAAACAAGGGCTTTATGGTAATGTTGTTCATTCATTCATCCTAATAAAATATCTTCTTAAAAAGCAATTAAAATTTTAAAATCATTATTTTTTGTGTGAGAGCGAAGAATTTATGACCCTAACATGGACTTGTTTGGGCTTGCCTCGAGGGGCATGGCACAAAGGTGGCTCGTGGAATCAGGAATGTAATATGTTTTACATCACATTAGCTACTTCAAGTAATGCAATTGAGGAAAAAAGAGATTGTGGGTTTTACATGCTTGAAAATGTTTTATATGTTTGATTTTATTTTTAAATTCTCATTTGAATATGCTTTACATGTTATGTTTATGTATTTTAATTTTAGATAATAGGTATTTTACTTTTTTAAAACATTTATTTTAAAATTTAAGTTTATATATTTTTATTAATGTTATGTTTAATTTTTTTTTGAAAATTTTGGCATTTTTTTTTTAAATTTTCTGACATTTTTTGATTTTTAGCATTTTTTTAATTTTTGCGCCTTGCTTCAAAAAGGCACACACCTCGCCTTGCACCTTGGGCGCCAATTGACCCCTGCGCCTTGCGCTTTTAAAACACTAAGTTATGGTTGTGGTGGATCGGTTCACCAAGTACAACCACTTTGTAGGTCTACCCCACCCATACAATGCCCCCATGGTTGTTGAATTCTTCATGAAGGAGATATCTTGACTCCATGGCACTCACCGAAGTATAGTGATTGATTGAGATTTGAGACCCACTATTTATGAGCTGATTCTGGGAAGAATGTTTCAGGTTGCAAGGGGTATCCTTACAGAAGCCTACCTGTTACCATCCACACTCTGATATACAAACAAAGGTTGTAAATTGTTGCTTGGAGACCTACCTCCGCTGCTTTACAGGAAGCTATCCCAAATAGTGGGTGAAATGGTTGCCATGGGCTGAATAGTGGTACAACACCACCTTCTACTCTGCCATAGGTATGCGTCCCTTAAAAACCCTATATGGCCAAGACCGTCCCCCAGTGTTGCTTTTCGAGAAGGGGCCCACTAAGGTTGCCACCCTTGAGGAGCATATGTTGCAGCAAGACTCTACTTTATAGGAGCTCAAATCCAATCTAGCTTGAGCCCAGCAACTCATGAAGAGAAACTATGATGCCAAACATAGGCCCTTGGATTTGTAAGTGATATAGTCTTTCTTAAGCTCCACCCTTACAGGCAAGTATCAGTAGCTAGAAGGAGTTGGAATAAGTTGCTCCTTAGTTCTTTGGGCCCTTCAAAATACTAGAGAGGATTGGACAGGTTGCTTACAAATTGGACCTTCATCACTCATCAAAGCTGCACCCAGTCTTTCACATATCCTTGCAGCAATGTTGTTTGAAGTCAGGAGCCATTACGAGCCCCACTCTTCCTCATTTAACTGACAAGGGGAAAGCTCGGAACTGAACCCCCTACGGATTGTAGACTTCCGTTGGGTTCAACACGGGGTATGCCATCCCAGAAGCTTTAGTGATTTGGAAGAATTTTCCAGTTGAAGATGCCACTTGGGAGCCTTACCTTAAGCTACAAGAGGAATTACCTCACTTGGACCTCGAGGACAAGGTCCATCCTAAGGGAGCAGGAATTGTTAAGACAAGCAACATGCCCTTGACAAGGGGCTTGGCCCATCAACCTCTCACCTGCGATCTGCCCACAAACAAGCAAGTCTACAGTAGGAGGCCACGTAAACCAGTTAGTTATGGAGGGGACCTGATCCTAGGCGCAAATTAGCAGATCCCTTGTAACAGTCAGGATAGGATACATATAAATATGTCCCTGTAATAATGATGAGATATCGAAACTTTATCATTTTTGGCCTCTCTTCTCTAGAGGTGGTTCTCCTCGAAAGGACCCTGAGATAGGTAGTAACCTGTCAATATCCTAGAGGTAGTCTCTATTTTATATGATAGTAGGTTGTTTTGGTATCATTTGGTGTAGCAATTGCAGACATGACTTTTGCAGGTATTTGGTTTTTCATTTGATTGATAGTAGCATGTTTGTGTTTTTATTGGATGGTCACAAGAAATTGTTGTGACTATGTGAACTCATGAAAATCAAATCACCTAGGCATGCACTCATCGGTAGGGTTATCAATGGACTCCAAAAGTTCGATACTTGATTTGAGTCCGAATCTGATTATGTCGGATTTGGATGTTAGAACTTGTCCAATTAATAATTGGATCAGATGTGGATTTAGCCTCATTTGATCCGATTAAAACCAAGTTTGATAAAGATTATTATTTTGTGTATATATGTAGTATGGTTATGTATATATATTGTGTATAATTATATAAAGTTTATACTTAATAAATTTAATATTTTATATTTATATACATTTAACAGGGTTCATTTAGTTAATTGGGACCAAGTTTGTCTCCCTAAAGCTGAGGGTGGTCTAGGAATAAGGAAATTGAAGAATTTCAATACTTCTGCAAGTGGATTTGGAGATTTTCGGCTGAGAGGAATGCTTGGTGGAGATTTCTTATTGCTGAAAAATATGGGGTTGATTGGGGAAACTGGAGAACTAGAGATCCCCCTCCAAATTGGGGTAATTCTCTGTGGAAAGGAATTATGAGAAACTTTCCTATTTTCTGGGAAGGGATTTCTGTGAATGTGGGTAAAGGTGATGGAACAAAATTCTGGAAGGATAAATGGTGTTTGGAAGGCCCCCTTGCTGGCTCCTTCCCTTATCTTTTTAGATGTGCTATCAACCAAGAGGCTACTGTGGCTGATTGCTTCTCTTTGCTTGAGAATTCAGTGTCTTGGTCCCCTCTCTTAAGGAGGAATTTGTTTGATTGGGAGCTGGATGAATTTTTGGAACTGATGACTCTTCTTCATAATCAAAAGATTGATGTGCTTGGGGATGATATGTGGTGCTGGAAATGGAAGCCGGATGGTGTTTTTTCTGTGAAGTCCATGGCTGCTAAATTATGTAGTGTGGGGCATTCTGATTTCCCAGCTACTCAGATTTGGAATCCTATGAGCCCCTCAAAATCTAATTTCTTGGTTTGGACGATGGTCCTTGACAAATGCCTTTCCAGGTCTAACCTGTTGAGGAGAGGCATCCCAATTATGGATTCTAATTGTGTTCTTTGTGGGACTGCTGCAGAAACTACAGAGCATTTATGTCTTCATTGTCCGTTCTCCTCTCAGATTTGGATGCATTTTCTTATAGCTTTGGGTGTTAAGTGGGTAATGCCAAGATCAGTTAAGGAACACCTTTGTAGCTGGAAGTTGAAGGGGCTAAGTAAGAGAGGGAAGCTTATGTGGAAGACAATCCCAGCTGCTGTTCTGTGGTCCATTTGGGCTGAAAGGAATAGTAGAGTCTTCTGTAATAGGGCTAAGGGTCTTGATGATGTAATTCAGAGAGCTGTGGGTAAGCTGATTTCTTGGATTTCCATTTCTGGGGAGTTCAGAGATCTTAGCTTGCCCGTTTTGTTTCAGTCTTGCTCCTGGTGGAGGTTGTAATTCCGGCTGCAATTCATACTGCCTTCTTGGATCTGAATTGCAGTTTGTTTTTGTTTCTCTGTGCTGAATAAAAAAATTACATTACCTTTTCCAAAAAAAATATAAATTAATTTTTTAAATCTTCTTAAATTTTTGAACGTTTTATACACAATATAAGATGGTTGTGGATTAAATCCGAATCCAATCTGAAATCCAACATGCTAATTGGATGCAGATGCAGATCTAGAGGTTTCATGATTGGATGCAGATGCAGATGCAGCTGGATCCGATCCGAATACGATCCGTTTACAGCCCTACTCACTGGGTAATTTGGTTTATCCTTTGACTTATAGCATGTCTGGGTTTTTTTAGAGGCCACAAGGTGTTATGATTATGTGAACTCATCATTCCACATGTTAGGCTACTTAAAGTGTTGTCACCATGTGAATTCATCAAAATCAAATCACCCAGGCATGCAATCATTGGGTGATTTGGTTTTACACAGAATAATAAGGAAAGATTCATCTATGTACCATAGTTGTCCACCTAGGTGTCGCTTAGGCGACAAGGAGCCCTTGGAGGCTCGCCTTGCCTAATCGCCAAGCAGTTTTGTATACTCTGTTATAAAATACTATTATATTCTTAATTTTTTGAGATTATAATTATTAAAATAGACATTATTAAACTAAAATAATCATTTTGTGTGTTTATATACTAATTTCTTTTTTATTATTTTCTTTTGTTAGGGTTTAATCAACATAGACATTGCTAACTACTGTATTGAACCCTCAAAGACTTCAAAACCTGAACCAATAAGGAAGAACTTAAAATTTTGTCTAATCAACACATCTTTTTCTTCTTCTTCCACCTTTTCTTTTCTTCTTTTTCTATAACAAAAATAGGGGTTCACCCCCTATATTTTTTAAATGTTCTTTTCTTTCTTCTTTTTCTTCTCATGAATATGTTGATTTTCTAGACTTCAACATGAAGTTTATATTTTTCTTATGAAAATTATGGATAATTATTGAGGAAATATGGTTATGGAACCTATGGAACTACCCTAGGATATATGTTTTTACTTAAAAAAATCCATTGCCTAGGCGACTAGGTGAGAAGGTGCCCCCCTATCGCCTAGCCTTGCCTCTTGGCGCCTTGAAAACTATGCTATGTACACGTAAATAAAAAAAATCTATAATTGATATAATAGACAAAGTATTTTTTAATCATTATTAACAAAGTAAAACTTGCTGAAGGCAGTATAAAGGATTTTGATAAACTAGGGAGTATGTCTAGATATATTCCAGTAATATTTTGTGTCAACCCATAGGAATGGAAGCATGTCATGGAAAGACTCTGTTTTTGTGAGAAAAAAATAACATGATATTTTTGTTCCAGTGTGGATAAATAACAAGATGAAAAGGTTTTACACAGAGTAAGTACCTGAAAGTTTCAAACTTGATTTTCTCCCTAAAGCTTTCAATCTTCTCCTATTTTCATTGAAGCTTTCTTCTCCACATTCCTATTTTCTCATGGTTGTTAATACAGTTTTGCCCTTAAAAATCCCACATTCTAAGAGTCCTAATCATTTACAAGACCAGTGATGGAGGTTATGCCTCTTACACCTCAAGGTTAATGGATAAAGGCATACACCTAGTGAAATTTGGAGCATAAGGGTTCTGTGAAGTTCAAGGGGCTATTAGGACAAGATGGTTTGACCTTGCCTTTCCTTGGGGCACACTCCTTCTCTTTCCATCCAACCTAAGAGCCTTCAAAACCATGTTTTTGCATTATCTTTCTTCTATATTTATGTGCATTTAACAGGGTTTCCTGACATCATCCCTTTCTTTCTTTTTTTATCCCCATTTTTTATTTGTCACACACAAGTACATTATCTCTGTATCTCCTTTTTGGGTTAACAGAATAGGGCTCCTCTCTCTAGTTCCTTTTCTCCATATATTATGTAATGTTGCCTTCATTCTACTTCTGGTGTTTGACTATTTCATGTTAAATCACTTTTATTGTTTGTTAGTTGCAACTTCAGAGTTCAGACTTGGAAAGCCTAAGAAAGTGTCTGGTTGCCTAGGCAATAAGATGCTTTCTGTGTTGCCTAGCTTTGCCTTAGTGTCTTAATTATTATGTAATTGTTCTGGTTTACTTGATTTCTGTACTATTTTAACTCAAAAGACCTGTACTTGTTACATCCATTTGGAGGACCCTTCTTTCTTTAATGATGATTTAATTTTGTAGTTTGCCGAGGATCGGTTTACCGGGCATTAGGGCTTATGGTGGCAGCATCACCATGTGCACTGGCTGTAGCTCCTTTGGCATATGCTACTGCAATAAGTGCCTGTGCAAGTAAGGTATGGTTGTTTTGGATATTAGTCTTTTGTTTTGCTCTGGAATACTTCTTTTGTTTCCTCAACTCTTCAGGGCGTTTATCTGCAGAAAATGAAGAAAAAGGGTATAATAGCTCAGGTTTCATGTAAATAAATTTTCTTTTATAGGTACACTTCCAATTTATTGAGACTTGATCTGAAAGTTTATATTTCTAGTATTCCATCTAACCTTGTGCAATTTGTGAAATGATATTTTCCGTAGTTTGTTCCTCCTATGAGGTCTTTATTATGTGATTGGAACAATAGCTGAGGTGGTGTCTGTTGGTATGTATAATACAGATGTCAGATGATACCTGCCAAGGTGCAGTAGACTCAAGAGAACATATGTTCTCTGATGAGTTACATGGTTTTGAAATGAGGTTCAATTTTCCTTTTGTCATTCACTTAAACCTGTAGCCTTTAGTTCTATCATCATCATCGTCATCATCCGAGCTTTATCCCAGCTATATCGCCATTCTATTCTGTTTAATGCCATATTCATTGTTAAATTATGGGCGCTTAAAACATTTCTTACCACTTCGACCTATGTCCTTTTTGGCCTACCCCTAGCTCTTCTAGACTCTAGTCCATGTCCTTTCTGGTTTGCCCCTAGCTCTTCTAGCCTGTGTGTTCTCTGATGGGTTATGTGGTTTTGAATTGAGATTCAATTTTCCTTGTGTCATGGTTCTATCACTTAAACCTATAGTCTGTGCATGCTAAATGGTGAAAATACTTTCCACTTGCTAAACTCCTGTAATGTATATATCAAGGCCATTCATTGGGTGAAGACTATGGACCTGTTCTCAGCTTTTACATTGGACATCATTAGAAATTGAAAACAGGTGGCTGATTCCTTGTTAGATTGGCTCCTTCAGATCGATGGACTTCTCCCTCCCTAGGCCTCATAAAGATGAATTTTGATGGATGCAATCTAGGAAAACTAGGCCCTTTTCGAGTTGTGGGAGTCTTTAAAAACCGGGAAGGAAATATATTAGCTAATAGCTATTTATTATGGTCCTTCAAGAGTGATGACAAAACTAAGGCAGAATTATGCACAGTACTTCGAAGGGCAAAATCCTTAAACTATAGGACTCTTGTTATTGAAGGTGATTCATGTGTTGTAGCAGGGTGGCTAACAAGGAATCAGGAGAGTTCTTGGAAATATAGACCTTTTCTCAGAGAGATCAAAGAACTTATGCATAAGTTTAGGAAAAATGTAAGTGGGTACCTCATTTTGCTAATGGATTAGTTCATGGCTTGGAAAAGCAAGGGGCATTGAGAAATCATATGTACTAGGGTCAAATACTCCAGGGGGGGGGGAGGTGTAATTGTACTTTTTGAGGTACATATTGCAAGTGAGTTGAGTATGACAAATGTGGATATATAGCAATAGCTTTCTTCCTACTTGTTTTTGATAGGAAATGGTAACTTTCATTAAGTTTAACATTATAAAATTACAATTGCCACCTTCCTAAAAGGTGACCCCTCATAACATAATCAAATTATAAGCATGCCCAAAATAAAGTCTCCCTATTAACCCCTTGCTTTGCTAAAACATCAGCCAACCCATTTGCTGTTCTCCTAACCCAGTTAAATTGTGCTCCTAACTCCTGTGTCAAATTCATTATTTCCCTTATATGCTATCTAAGGGGCCAAGTACCCAAGTTCCTTGTTTGCATCCAGCCTATGACCAATCTTGAATCCCCCTCCACTTCTAACTGTTGGAAGCCCAGCTGTTCAGCCAATCTGAGCCCCTGAAGGACCATTATTTCTGCTCTTAGTGAGTCACCCACCCCTAAAGGGTCAGAAAATAGGGCCAAAACTCTTCCTTCCTTATCTCTAAACACACCCCCGATTCCAGAAGGAAAGGGTTTCCCATGGAGCTGCCATCAAAGTTCAGTTTCACAGAAAACTGCATGGGTGGGGTCGACTCGTCATTAACAATAGTAGGAGGGATGGAGGAGCCTGCTACTACATTCCAGCCTCTAAGCTAGTCATCTACAGAAAAATCCTTGAAGAGATCCATAGTTTTCAGCCAATGTATCGCCTTGATGGTGATACCTTCTATAACTTGAAGCAATGTTTTTTCTTGCCATTGGAAAATCCTGTTATTTCTCTCTTCCCAAACTGCTGACAAATTGCTGCTCTCGTTGTTTTCCACATCACCCTTCCCTTCTTCTTTGGTTGTCGGAAAAAACTAGAGTCAAAAAGTTCCGCCACTCTTGAGGGGGGAGTCCACCTGCAACCAAAGAGGAAAGAAAAGCATTCCCAGATATGAGTAACAAAAGGACAAGATAAAAATAGCCTTCTTCCTACTTAACCTATGACATAGTTGTCAAGGTGACTAGGCGATTTTTAGTGGTCCGCCTCATCCACCGCCAAGGTGTTTTTGTATTAGGCATTCACCCATATATATTATATTATTTTTTGAATGTGCATATGTATTATATCATTTTATTGGTTTGTTTTATTTTATTAGAATACACCCTGTTGTATGTTACCATTTTTTATTAAAGTAATTATCTTTTACATTAAAACTACGAAAGTTTCTTTGGGTTTGAGACTTTGAGTTTTGAACTGAGAGCTGAGAAGAGAAAGCGAGGACTGAGAAGTTTCCATTGTTCAGTCCAAGTCATCCAAGACCTCCAGGTAATGTTTCTCTTCGTCTTCTTCTTCTTCTTCTTCTTCTTCCTAAAATCACACTGGTACTCTTTTCTTACTTTAAACAATCCTCCATTTTTTAAGCCTGAAACAGGGTCTCCACCCCCTTAAACATAGTCTACGTCATCCTCTTGGACAACTTATTTTGGGAACGAAACAGGGGCTTTGCCCCCTTATTTTTCTCTCTTTTCTTAGCTGCACTCCCCCATTTTTGTTGGCCTGGATGCTAGCTATGGCATTTTATGTTTTATTCAAATGATTTTATTGCTAATAGCTAGCATACATGTATGTTGGTTAGTATAAAAAACCAATAAAGTAGCTTCAGAGGGGTAGAGATATTTATTTTATACTTTCAAATTCCATCGCCTAGGCGCCTTGACAACTATGACCTATGAGTTGTAATTTCTGTGTACATTCAAATTTGGTTGTAGGATGGTTGAAGGGATTGGACTCTATATTTTGGTGCTTTTGGTATGAGATGAAATTCAAATGGCTTACTAGAAACATGAATTTGAGGATACTTTGGGTTAGGAGATAAGCTAATATGATGGTGGATGCTCTAGCTAAGCAAGGGGTAAACAGAGATCACTTGTATTGGACTCAGTTGTAATTAGCAATTATATTCATATTTTAATTTGTGAGAGGTAGCACCTCGTGCGAGTCGTGCCTCTCCACGAGGTTGCTTATACTGCCTATTTTTATTTCTTTTTAATAAAATTTCACTTATAAAAAATTGTACTTTAGAGGTGGTTATCCAAGGCTAGCTACCTCCAAGGGGTGTGCGATAGTGTAAGGTTGGTCTTTGTTTTAATAATAAAACAAGTCACTCATAAAAAATGATAAATTTATAAAAACATAAATAAATCTCACTATTTGTGATTTGATCTCAATCAACCTTTCTTTAGAATTTGCAGTCTGATTATGATTTTTAGAATATCAGTCCATATGGCAATGTCAGGAAGAAGCTAATTCATTTTGGTGGGTGTTGTGGGGATGTGATGAGCATACATCTTCCAAAGATTGAAGGGGGGGGGACCTGGGTATAATCGAATTCTGGGGAATGCTATGTTCAAGGGAGAACAGGACAAAGGGAGTTTTCATAAGCTGGAGGGAATAAATTTAAGGTATTGAATCAAGTGGACATCCAAGCACTCAAAACTGGGAGTTCTTGGTGCTGTGGAAATGGGAAACTGAGAACTTTTGGAGGAAGGCTCCGAGAACCCCCTATTTGCTAATGTTGTTCATTCATTCATTGCAATAAAATATCTTCTTAAAAGGCAATGAAAGTTATAAAATCATTATTTTTTGTGAGAAATGAGAATTTAGACCCTAACATATATTTGTTCAGGCTTGCCTCGAGGGGCGTGGTCGGGGGTTCGGGGGCGGAGCCCCAGGCCCAGCTGTTAGACTAAAAAAAAGCAAAAAGCGCAAAATTTTAAAAAGGCGCACGCTTGGGCTGAGGTGCAAGGCGCATCAGGTGCACGTCTAGGCGCACCAGGCGTGCGCTTAGGACCTAGGCGAGTCACATACCCCAAAATGTGCCTCGCCTGTGCGCCTAGGCACGCCTTTTAAATCACTGAGCCTAAGTTGTCTCTAACTCCACCAGTACTAGGGGGTCCCTGGATTACCAAACTACAACCACCAAAATTAAGTTTGACAAGGTTCATGGGTGGTAGAAACCATTCACTTATTAGGCTTGACCTTGTGGTTGATGAGTCCACCACATGTATTCCCAACCCCTTAAAATGTCATCATTAGAGAAATGGTCAAAGATGCTTAAATTTTAAGTCTTGACCCAATTTACTACCCTCAAAAGAATATATTCAATTAACAACCTCCATAGATCTTTTAATAGACATTGTTGAGCAAGGGCAAGAGAAGAGAAGAGAGGAGAGAAGAGAGGGAGAGAGGAGAGGAGAGTCGAGAGGACTGAAAGCCCCTACAGAACACTATAGGCGAGTGCATAAGTTATTATTTATACTAGTCTAGTTGTACAACATAAAGAAGGAGAAAATTACAAAAGTACCTTGCGGTACTAAACCTGTGTACAACAACATCTGTCAACACTCCCCCTCAAGTCGGAGCATAGATATCAATCATGCCCAACTTGTCACAGAGATCATGATGTCTGGAATGATTTAGACCCTTTGTAAAGATGTCTGCAAGTTGGTTCTCAGAGTTGACATAGAGAGTACACACTTCGCCTATGATGACTTTCTCTCTGATAAAATGCTTGTCAACTTCGATGTGTTTTGTTCTATCATGTAGCTCTGGATTGACAACAATGCTTATAGCTTCTTTGTTATCACAGAATAGAGTCATAG